TATATATATATATATATATATATATATATATATATATATATATATATATATATATATATATATATATATATATATATATATATATATGTATATGTATATACTTTATATAATATAGTCATTTCATCATATATAATCATTTTGTTAGATTAGAGATTTCAATATTTCAAGCCTAGATGCAACCGCACGTTATCCCGTCCCATTTTCCTTCATGAAGCAGTTATATAAACTCATCTAATTGAATATTTAAATTTTCGAATGAATATAACTGTTAACTATCAATAGCATGTAAATTTTTACACATCGCAAAATATAATCAAGGAACGACAGTGTTTACTTTACTTTTCAATCTTCAGTCATAATACGACAAAGTAAATTCTAAAATATAGACGATGTATGGACAACAGTAATCTAAGAGTCGTAGCATATTTGAACCCTGAAAATCCAAAAAACATTTCACCCGACATAAAAATCGAAAAAAGGAGACATTTCATCCGGTGTAAAATAACTTTTTAAGTTTGTGCGCAAACAGATCGCTATCAAATTGACCAGCGAGCTAGAATGAACTACGAGAAGACGGGCTCGGACACATATAACATTAAAATTTCCCGATAAATCCCGGGAATGTTAAATCATGTGTTTGAAGTTCTGGTATTTTACTTGTCACATATGACATGTTTACATCTGCAATTTTGAAGTCTGCAAACAATCAACAATAAACGACGAACAACACCCGCACACCAAGACACTAAAAGCAGCATCACAACACTTGCCCTTCCGTACTAATGCTTTTATTATAGTGCTGCAAGTTATGAAGACTATCCTTAGCACGAATAACAACCGTACTTTATTGGTAGTTGTCCAATTATCTCGAAATTTACCTCTCATCGATTGAGACATTTTGTTTTCACTGGGGGCTTGGGTTTTAGTTGTGCGTGTTTCGGGTTGATGTGCTAGTGCGACGTTTCTCGTTCGAGTTGGGTGCGGGATATTTCACCCCCGGGTTTTCCTCTAATAATATTCCTCATCCCGAATTGAGAATGCACATTCATCAATGTTCTAAATTCTACACCATTTCAGGTGTTTGGTTTAGGTAGAATTCACTTTCATTATGCGCTAACAAATTCGCTTCCATATTTATTGCATTTCCTGGGGCCGTACCGGGATTGTCACCTCTAGTTATCGTAGCTTTATGCATTCATGGTAGATGTTGTCGTTGAGTTTTCGCTCTGTCCCCTCAGTTCCCTTCCGCTCTGCCTTCCTATCTTTTTTACCAGAAAAAAGCGAATGATTATTTCGTGCTTATTTCTTATTGAAATGTGATATTTTCATACTTACTGACTTTATCAAATAACTCAGATACTTTCTTTCACATTCAATGGCTTTGTCAAACAACAGAGATTTTATCTTTCAGAATGTTTAGAGGCGGGGTAGCACTTTTCGAATCAGCCAGTTATCAAATTGTTACTGAAAACAGGAATATACTGCTTCACTCTCCGTGAAGCTGGCTTCATTTTGATATTTAAGTTTTCCTTTTAATGCTGCGACATAATATCTGCTATTTTGGTTTCCTTTTCCTACCATAGAGGCTTTAAGAAAACTTTCGAAGGAATTTCACACCGTATTATTGTTTGAATTTCTCTCTTACAGATCTTTAGCGGAAAGTTCATTGGTTTTTGCTGCGGTTAGTTAGGTTCCATGATTTTCGCAATAGTGAAACCGTATTCACCGCATTTTTTATAAAATTCTCATGTTGCATTTGAGAAAAAGCGAAAACTACTTATCATATTTATATAAGCCAGTTCCAGTTTTCTAGCTCCTCATCCTTTTTTTGTTTTATCGTGAATAACCTAAAAAGCAAGAGATTATTTATTCCTTCTGTTTTGCTTTCCTGTTTTCGAACTGTTACCGCTTACTACAAGTATTCTGATGGCATGCTGATTTGTTATTTCTTCCCGGGCAATAAATCTGCAGAAGTACAGCCTGTGCAACCAGGTTTTCATAAATATATCTGCGCAGGAAAAAGATGCGTTATACGTGTTTTCTTTTGTTATGAATCAAATTTTTCATCAATATTTTGGTTTGAGACTCATATATGATTTCAAATTCCCGATGCATATACATTAAATTTTAAAATGAAATAAAATATCCGGAAGAAATGGTACTCATAAAACTTCTGCATATTTTGTACTACCCGGAAGAACTAAATATTTTTTCAAGGTGAATGAGAAGTATTGGTTACCACTGCGATTTCTTTCTAGCAAACATGTTTTGGGTATTCCTTTAATATCCTGAATGATATTTTTCTATGAAATGAGCACAAATATCTGGTTGATATAATACAGCAAGACCGCTGTGCCTTGTTGATCATATTATCTTTCACCTGAAAGGTAGACAGAATGAGTAAAGATAGAGCATTCCTTTATCATAGACAGCTTTTAACAACAACATTCATTTACTGTTTTCCATCACATTCTACTCAATATCTATCGTCTGTTCATGTGATTTATAATGAAAACAAGACTGATTATGGTATGTGGTCGATTTTGAATATTTTGAACTTCTGAACCACCATTTCGGAAATTAGGACTAATGAGATCGTAATCTCTCTAGCTATCTAGAATGGATTAATTGAAATTGTTTACAATATTGTTATGGGTTTTTTTTCTTCTATTTTTTTCTTTCTTTTTCGTACTTTTTCCTCCTTTTTTTTGATCTCCTAACTCTCATCAAAAAATGAATGGCGGTATAAAGATAGCTTTTCGTTTTCCATTGTTAAAATTTTCAAGAATAGCAGTTTTAACTTAAATTTTTGTAGATTTCTCTCTTCCAACTTGTGAATGTTTTTGCTTATATTTCCTTTCAGTGCTTAAATTCGAATAAATCCTGATCTGCACCTTACTATGTGGAAGATTTATTTTCTTCTTTTGTGTTTTTATGCACTTGTTTTTTTTCCTCATTAAAAAAAGCTTTGTATATATGATTAAAAACTTTTTAGATGGATAAGCGTATAGAATTGGAATTACGAGGACGGGATCCATCTGAGGTAACCGAACTAAACCTTGATAATTGTCGGGCGACTGCTGTCAGCGGTCTTACGGAGGATTTCAAGAGTTTGGAAACACTTTCAATGATCAATGTTGGATTAACTTCACTGAAAGTAAAAAGGCTTAGTTTTTTGTTGGGATTTGTTGAAAAACGGCGAGATGGCTACAGTACTTAACTCCTTAACTTGATTTACTTTCAGTTTTAATTTTTTCTGGGAATTAAAACATGAACCTGTATAGGTGTAGCACTAATATATTTTTAACTGACATAGATTTTCCCTTTATTTGTCAGGGTTTACCACCACTACCTTCTCTTCAACGATTGGATTTATCGGAAAATCGAATTTCCGGTAATCTGGATCAATTGTTATGTTGCCCGCATATAGAATACCTCAATTTGGCTGGCAACAAAATCAGTACATTGGAAGTTCTGGAACCACTGAAAAAACTTGAGGAACTGAGGTCACTGGATCTTTTTGGCTGCGAATTAGCTACATCTGATGACTACAGGAAAAATGTGTTCGAGGTTTGTTTGCTTTTTTTGGAGCTTGCTATAAAGTCCAACTTATAGTGGTCACGCGGGAGGTACGATCTGGTGAGCGGTAAATTAAAAAAAATAGTGTAGCTTTACCGAAAATTCTTGAATATGTGTGGGTTGACCGGTTAACAGAGTAACTTTGGTCTTAAAATATAGTTATGAAATCGATATTATTTTTGTGGTTGCATTTATCAAATAAAAGTTATCGTTTCGAAGTCGAATTACCCTTATGGTTTTTTCAAGCTGTAGCAGTCAGTGAGATGTGCAGATGATTTTTATCTGCGCTATGCTGAAGTGATTATTAAAATTTGAAGCAACTTTTATCTTTTTTGATTTTTCTCTGGGAGGATTATCCTCATCCAAAGATTTCTGGCCATTTGCAGAATAATGGGAATGTTTACACTTAGCGAGAATAATGTTCTTAGAAATTATCGCAATTTGCTTCAAAGCGAACTTTTGTTTTTTGTAGACGTTACCTAACCTGAAATATCTCGATGGTTATGACATCAATGATGAGGAAGCAGAATCCGACAGTGAAATCCTGCAGGAAGGCGGTGATGACGAAGATGACGATGATGGTGTTGGTGATGGATTGGACGACACCGATAACGATGATGAGGGCAATGATGATGAGGAGGACTCCGATGTCGGTTTGGATTATTTGCAGAGTTCTACTGTGATGCAGGTATCTGTTTAATATTTCGTATCCTGGACATGTTAAGAAAACTGTTTATGCGAGGATGTAAAAATATTTATGTTTTCTGTCTTCGTGTTGAGGAATTAAAATAATCCAGACTAATGCTCGCTTAGGTCAAATTATTAACAAAAAATATGATGTTTATGATATTTTTGCCTGAGAGTATCTGAGATTGTCAATGCAGCAGTTGGAGAACGGATAGAAAGAGGGTGACGGTTTGTTGTGCCGATTCAGTTCATAAGTTAGAATTCACTATGACTTTGTTGATTTTTACGGATTGGGTGGAAAATATAATTTCATACCATAGAAATATGTTTTGAAAAAGAAAAAAAAACCTTTAGCTTTCAGGATGAAGATGAGACGGAAGATTTCGCTCCAGGAGATGAGGAAGAAACGGATGAAGCGGGCAGTCCACGAGGTGTGAAACGGAAACATGAGGAAGATGATGATGATGATGAAAACGGTGAAGGTGCAAAACGAGAAGCGTAGAATTACACTGTTCCACTGCAAATGGCCACGTAACACTTTTCATTATCCGAAGAAAATCCGTAGAAAATTGAATTTTTTTTAATATTTGAAGACTAAGTACTTCTCCTGCAGATTCCCAGAATGTTTCGGATATTAATAGGAATTGATATGATTCGTTTTCTTCCCAGCAGGAGACCAATAAATTGCGGGAAAATCGAAAATTGCTACATTGTGCCATCACGAATGCAATCTCATTATCTGTTTATTTGTTTGCTGTTGTAAATGCAATAAAATGTTCTTTTTAAAATATATTCCTTGCATTGTTATTCAGAAATGATCTTAAACTTCACGTCCATTTATTCTATTTTTATATTTTTTGTTAAATTCATCCGTTTCATCTTTAATATTGACCTTATTTATGGTTTATAACACTTACCTCAATATATGATATATGATCATGATTACGATTACAAATCAACGATTATAATTATTACACCTACAATGCCATACTACACTTTTTTGTTCCCGCTCTCTTTCCCAAGTAGAAATTTATTAATGCATCAGAAAAGTTTCCGATTTTACCCTCTTGCAAAAAGTGATTCATTTTGAAAAAGTCGACAAAAAAAATGAAATTGGATTTTGTTGTTTGTTTCGGTTCACTATGTTTTAGCATTTGGAAATTTCTCACGAAATTTTGAAATTTTGACGAGATTTTGTAATATCTTCACTTTCCTTTTTTTTCCTTATTTACTTTTTTAACGTATCTACTCTCATTTCTGACATTTATTACCACGAAAATTGAAAGTAATAGATCAGATCATTTTCCGGTTTGTATTTCGTGATGAATTGTTCTAGTATTTTCCCACAAATGTCCAGTTGTTCTTTTATTCAGAACTAAAATTTTTTTTGAAATTTTGTTAGTTTGCACAGTACTCTGGGTTGGGAACTGGTTTGGACTTACACCTTATGGTTTGTGAGGATCTTGGCATAATATCTGTATTACTGAAAATTATCGTTTGATGGGACAAAGGGTACGGGGAAAATAAAATCGCGCATTTTCCCTTATTCTGGGATTGGTTGTCTGGATGACTGAAGTTTCAGGATTTAAAAAGTTGTATGGAATAGTTCACTGAATAAACGACTGACCTTCAAATCCTGTAATCATAGTGATCAAACTGCAAATATTAACTGGCTACTAGACTTTGTAATTTTTCTATTAGCTTTACCATACTTTTTGTTTTTCAAATAGTATGAGTACACCACAATGGTTGGTTTCGGAAGTTATGGATCACGGTATTATTTTGACAGTTTGTGCTTTTATAACAATTTGTTTGTCCTTTATAACAACTAAATTTGCGAAAATGTTTCAATCTAATGTATTACTTTAGTAGCAATGATTGAGTTAAATATCATATTTGCATAATAACAAAATGGAATGAGTTATGATATCTACAACTAATTGCACTTCCAGTCATTTATCTGATAAATTTCAAGATGCTACTATACTAAGACTAATTTAATCGTATAGAGGCAAAATAATTTTTGGGGAAAAGATACCCCATCCAGAAATTCTTACATATATATCATATATATATATATATAATTTGAAAAACAAAAAGAAAAAAACAACTATTGTCTCAGTAATTTGACAGCTCCTAAACCGATTCTTTTCTGAAATTCAAAAACCTTTTTTTTCTGGAGGAAGAAGAAATTGAGAAAAGATCTGAAAACCTGATTTTGATCACAGTTATAGATATTGTCATACCAATAGTGTGATTATATCCATATTTATGACAGTTAATGTTTAGAGTTTAAAGTTAGTCTTCGTTTTCAGTTTAGTTAAAAAAAAAAGACACTTTCACGACCAATTTACTCTGGAATTTTGTGGTCAAATTAAATCACTGATCTTTTTACAAAGGAAAATCTCACTTTTACGGGGTGTTTTTTTCTTTTTTATTTCCTTCTTGCATAACATCTGAAATAAGCAATGCAAAATAAAATCAAGATGAAAAAATTTGAGAGGACAAAAATACAGTGAATGATGAGGCTAAAAAAAGAGAAGTACAGCTAATATATAATCATTTTCAGCCTCAATCCTTCTATGCTGCCAACTATAACAATAACAATGATCACAGCAAGCATTTAATAGACTACACAATCACATGACCTTTTTGTAACAGTTGAACTTCGAGAAAAATATTACTGTAAAGAAAATTTTTGTAAAAACAATTCATGAAAGTTTTTTATGATAGTTTTGATTGGAAATATAATTTTTTTTAACTAAAATCATAAACCATAAAATTTAGTAATTTTCATTTCTGAAATCAAAAATGAAAATTACTAAATATGTGTATTAACACTGAGCTTTCATAGTCTTGATTAATAATTTGGCTAATACTGCTCAATCATTTAAAGGTATATCAAAAATTATATGACTTATCCAATCAAATACTGCAATATCGTTATGCTACTTCGTGGGAAAAGTGCAAAACGGAAAGTCAAGTACAACTATTTCTCGACTACACTAATCATTTTTCAAAGATACATGGAAAAAGAACAGGTTCATATAGTATTCGCCAAAAAGTCCGTATAAACTATTATTCGCTTAATTCTTTGCATGATGTTGATGAATGGATCATTCAATTTGAACTCACTGAAAATACGACCACATATATCGTTTTTTTAAAGAATGTCATCAGAAATAATGATTTATGTGATTAGTTTGATATACAATGTCAATGTTTACCTATTCAGTTCGCGGAAATGCATTAATCAAATTACCAATCAAGTAGGCAATAGAAATTGAAATTTCTCCAAATACGTGTTAATAAAACTAATCCCGACAATAATCAAAATGCAACCAAATATAACATGGGTCATAAAAGTACAGTCTTCATGTAAATCTTACAAACAAAATAAAAAAAGGAAAAAAAAACAAGAAAATAAAAAATAAAAGGACCATATGGAATTGAATATGCCACCAAAAATGGTGTGACGACTTTCCAACTCATGGAAATTGGAACAATTCAAAATTTTGCTTATTGCGGTAATCATTAAATTGTGGTCAGATCTGAAACAGAATAAAAAATCCAGGAATGGCTCCTTTTTCAACCGCATTCCGCATACATAAGTAGCACAGAACAATATAAAAAAGGATATAAAACTAAAAGAATTGGCTTGTGCATGCATAGCCTATTACTTGCTTCAATCTTAATACCAACGAAAAGTGTAAAAAGCTAGAACTAAGGAATAATTATTATAATTTAGGAAACAAAATATATAATCTGAAAATTAATTTGGATCAACGAGTTCCAAATCCAATAAATAATTCTAGTGCATTTGCTAAAACTTAAATAATAACTCCAAATAACAGTTCTTACAATAAATAGCTCCTTTCAACTAACAAACCTCAGGCCCAACAACTAATAATAACGACTCGTTTTAAATTTGTTTTCCGAACATTACTGGATTACAAGGGAACATTTTCAAGAAATGACTTAAAAAGTAAGCATCTAAAAAAAAAAGAAATGACAATTCTCACGGAAATCCAAACATTCCAAGAAAAAAAGGATAAACGAAATAAAATTATGGAGTCATGTTGCATCAAACTATCATTCATATTGAAGCCCCAGAGCTTATAACCGGAAATGGAATTCATTCTTTGGAAAGTTTATTTAGTAATGTCAGAAATATCAAGGCAAATTGGATTTACAATTACTTTGGACCAGTAACCTATTTCAGGTCATAAGCCAAATTAAACTTTTAATTTAAATAAAATGCAACAAAGTATGATGCTGATAAATTTTGAACATAATAAATTTCGGCTAGCAAAAAAGAAGAAACGATAATAATACAAAATGCTTACAAAAATTAAATACTAATTGAAAAATTTTAAAAGTATTCCTGTTCAAATTGGAAGTAAATAAAATGTTACACGTGAAAATGCTTACGAGCCTCCTGCAATCTTTTACGCATATCCAAGACGCGCCGCTCTTGTTGCTGGATGTCCTGCTCACTAACTGACATAGCCTAAATAAAAACGAAGTTGCTCACATCATCTTCATCTTGAAAATTATTCATTATTCAAATATAAGCTTTTAAAGCATATGCCAACTACTTATTAAAGTTATTCTAACCACAAATTAAGACAATTACTACGCTTATCATATTTTTAAAAGTTGCTCAAGTTCTACCTTTTTCCTGAATTCAAAATATTCAGGATAATTCATTCAAGCCTTTAAGCACCACGGAATTAATTTTAAGGTAACTGAAGGCTTACAGGAACTAATCTTTGGAAACCCTATTTCATGCAATTTTGAATGAATCAAGACACATAAGGTATCAATTGAAGTTAATGCTAACTTATGCATAATATTAAAGTCATCAGAACTCACTCCATTTCAACCTGTTTTTGAATAAGACCCGTGAATTTCAATCTACTTTTGGATCTAACTCGTCAAATTTGATCTGCATTCAAATCTACTTCTGAATCTAGCTCATTAATATTGATATAATATTGATGGATTAAATACAAAGGATTATCTAAATAACCCTTGTTGTAGGTAATTGAAACTTAAAACTACACATTTACATAACTATTGCAAGTAGAAGTTCCATTCCTCCCGAAAAATATAGTTTCGAAATAAATTTGGATTTCCTTTCTACCCCCACTCCTCCACTTAAATTAAAATCTTTCATACCCCATTAAAAAAAGAATTTTACGACAGCAAAATCTCAGAATTACTTGAAAATAACTAAATCTTTTCAGATTACAAGCCGTTAGCCAAATTAAATCGTTCCATCCCTTCTAATTTTGAGATGAACAAAAGAACCTACTTGGATAAATGGTTGGTCAACATTAGTATTGACCGATGGGTTTGATTCGAGCTGCTTTTTAGTAGCAGTTTGCCCAGTAATAACTGAGGCGCCAAATCCATGCAATGCGGAGCATAACGATGCTGCTGAACCATCAGTACCAATAATCCCTAAAGCCGGTTCCATTTTACCGGCTAGATCTAATTTATGAGCAATATGCTCATTATCATTAATCGTTATACGGTCAGCATTACAAACTGGTACCATTGCACATAGATTTTCCAATGATTTAGCCCAATACAACTAAAACAAAAGAACATTCCTGCGTGATATATGCTATAAAGTTCAGCATAAATATAATGATCAAAACTGGGTTTGCCTTGGCCATCCACAGAATAAAATTTCATTAAAAACATAAAGGAAAATAAATCTCTTATAAAATTTATGAAAAAAGCATAGGAGCAAAAAATGAACGCAAAGTATACCAGTCTTTATTACCGTACTAATCACCCTGAACTAGGCAGATGTTCATAGGACCTATATGGTGTCGAGGATTTGTAGAGTTTCCCACTTATTAATTTGAAAGTATCAAGATCATCTAAACCGAATCTTAAAATTCCGAAGTCATCTACAGCAGATATTAATAAATAGGTTCAAATTTTCTTCTCTAAAACTTAAAAAATGGTAACAATGTTATTGGAATTTAAGCCTACTAAACAGCACAAAATTATACAAACCAAAGCTTAACGGCCAGTGTCGAAATTATCCAAATCACTAACTTGTCGTGGCTTATCAGCCCTGGTTTTCAAGTTACTTGATGTACAAACACGTCGTAACTGTTCATTGGTAGGATTCTTCGTTTCACGACTTGTCGTATGTACCAATGTAACAGGTTGCTTGAAAATGGATACCGTTTTACGCCATGGAGCATTCAACGGTCCATCAAAACCACTTTTTGCAGTTACCGCAACTCCGCGATCTTTGTTACCTTTCATGCCACGTTTTGTCACCGATAAATTACCTGCTTCGGAACCCTTTGTACGACCCATACGATAAGAAAGGAATAAGTCTAGCGAAGTCAAACCTGAAAATCAGTTTGAAAATTAATTTCCGCCCTGAATAATCGCGATCTATCAGCGATTGTAACCTTATCTACACATATATCGTATTTACATCTAGCCGTCAAAAGTCCTCTAATTCTTGGTTATTTTAACTGCTGCATCAATTTGTGAACACAAGTGAACACAGTAATTGACAATGTAAGCTTATCTGAGATTCAGGTAAAAACTGTATGCCGGGAGAGCTTAACACTAATGAATTCTAAAATGCTTGCAACCTTTCCAATTATATCTTACAAGTAAGTGACATATGAGGCAAAGCTCTCACGATAATACTGATTAGAATTATCATCATTATTAGTTACTTATCAATTCTCAATTACTTGCTACTTACTTGCTATTTCTTCACCCCTGCAATCATTCAATCTGATGCAGCGATCCCCTGCTAACAAATAAAATATTTAAGAAGAAACTAGCGAATTCCACCGAAGCAAATTACCATGATCTCCCAGTCCCTCATCCCTGAAATCCTGAGGGACAAAAAAAAAAAGATGTGCGCTTTGCAAGAGAGAACAGTAATTCGGAGGGTAACAGACAACTAGCGTATAAACTGAGAACATTCCGTGAGAGAATTTATGGATGCAAAAAAAAAACTTTGCCATCAAAATATTTCTTATTTCGTGATAGCCATAGAAGATGGAATAGGAAAGAGTACATCAGTTAGAGAGAGACAGCATACACTGAAATGAATGGGTGAGAAAGAGAGAGGGATTTACACCTAAGAGGACAGAGAGATAAAGATAGCTGCGGGAAATCCTTCGTGACAACTGTGAATGACGGGAATGACGGCAATGACGAGAATGGTGGGAGTTATTGTTGGAAGGAAAATAATTAATTAGCTGATGAAGATGCTGAAATTATCCTCCGCTCTTCCGTTTATCCGGTTACCGGAATGATGACAAGAATGTTCTTGCCAGGTATACAATGCCGTGTTATTTCCCGTGCTTTCATTGGGTAAGTAAAACTTGAAATTTACATTGTGCATATTAAAAAAAAAATGACGTCTCTTTTTTTCGTGAAATTATAAGAAGAGCGATTGCATTCATTTCAATGGATTAAGAACATTGAAATTAGCGACCATTTGGAATAAATAAATACGACAAAAGAAATATACATAATTTATGGTAATTTAACCTCCACAGACAGATCTTACGGAAATGGTATTTATTATCCGGAGAGAAGAATCTCTATCCGGAATTCACACAGGCTAATATAGCTCTGAAATAAACGATTGTGCTGCAAGATAATATGTCAAATGTATTACTGGCGAAACGAGGTAAATAAAAATGGTTTTTCGGAGAGAAGAATCACCGTCCGGAATTTAACACAGTCTAACATAGCTTTAACATAGGAGATTATATTACAAGATAACATGCCAAATGTACTTCTAGCGAGAAAAAAAGTAGAAAAGAATAAGGAAGTGGCGTATTTTACGTATATCAAAACGTAACATCCACACAACGTGTAGCAAAACGTCATACGTGTCATTCAACAAATTGGCATGCATCATTGAAAAGTGCAAAATTATTTTATTTTAATTGTAGGAGTAAACAGTACTTGCCGATTTTCAGGTTAAAGTTCACGTGTATGACAAGTCATAAGTGCTTATCCAGGATTTGATTCATAATACTCATATATCCCATCGAATAAATTGAAAAGCAAAAGAATTTAGTAGGTTAATCATTTCGAAGAATTTCAAACGTTAGTGAATGCAATACTGGCAATAAATAATTATCTGATAAAGAATTCTTTTACAGAAGGAATTATTCGATACTGTAGTTTATTCACGAAATAGAGTGAGCGTTGTGAGTCCATCAGTAATGTTATCTGTTCCACAAACTTCTCAGGTGGGAATATATATCGTTTTTTGTTTGTCTTAATATTTTCAGTTTGTCTTGTTTTTGTTTTTGTTTTCTTTTTTTTAATTTTAAATTTTTTCTAGCAATCAAAAAATTTATATAAATCTTCCGCTCTCTCATTCAATATTTTTTTTCCCTTTCTCATTTATTTCTCACTTTCTTTATGTCTAATTTAGAATAACACTGATAAACATTGTGGTTGAAATTTAGAAAATTTAAATATTTTTCAATTATTTTCCTGATAATTTCATTTGTTTAGAATAAAGTTTCCGAGACGAAGCGCCGGAATGTTACCCTTACACATGGTCGAAGCTTAATGGATTGGATCAAGCTGACATCGTCTAAAAGTACTGCGGCGACGATGAAAGGAGGTGTCGATGATGTTGAACTCAGTAAGCATGCAAGTGTTGACGATTGTTGGATTTTACTCGGTGAAAAGGTAACTACCACAGGATTCTGTTGTTGTGATGAATTTACTGTTCGACCTGGAATTTCATTTCCAGATTTGAAATTTCTGCAGTGAAAAACGAAATAACTGACAGATTGTTATCGAATCAAAAATTAACCTATCTTTAAGTTCCAACTTTGATAATGATGATGTCAGGTGTACAATGTGACAGATTATTTGGCATTTCACCCGGGTGGTGTTGAACAATTAATGCGTGCTGCTGGTACGGATGGTACGGGTCTTTTTAACAAAGTCCATTCTTGGGTTAATTATGACACAATGCTGAAAACGTGCTTTGTTGGAACTTTCAACGGTGACAGACGTAAATGTATCGCATTTCGAATTTTTTTTTTCATCCTATCTTTAAAATAAAAAATGTTGCGACATGACGAGAATAAGTTTTGTGATTTTCTAGCTAATGTTCCAATTTTATTAAATATCAGTTTTAAAGCAATACGAAAAATTGATTTCTTTTAAACTAAAAAATCTGAAAATCTATTTTCAGTATCCGAACCGAAAGCAGCGAATTTTAATGAAGAAACAAATTCAAACATCGTTAATTTTGAAACAGCTAAAGTAAGGTGAGGTATTTCAGCGGTAGTTCTTAATGATTATTCTTGTACAGACTAATAAAGTGGTTTAATTTTTTATTATGTGTAAATGCATGAGAAAATATTTGATTTGGAAGCAATCATGTTTTGTATTCCGCTAATTATAGCTAATTGATATGCTACAAATATGCCCTGAATATAACCTGGTGGCTGTATATAACTTAACGATACTTATTTTATAAATGCAACTCAGGCCTTCTGTATTTTTTCTCCGTCTGTTCTCTTACAACAACCAGAACAAGGCATGTAAAAACTATAGATGTCTAGTTTTTCTCCAACATTTTTTTGTTTAATATTGTTATTTTTAGGGCAGAATTTAATTCTGACGGTCAATTATGTTTAAGCTGTCCGAACTGGGATCAGCTAAGGGATGAAAATGTATCCTTGGAATTTATGGAGAATGTATTGAGACTTTTGTTGCACTTTTCTTCCGGTAAAACAGAGGCATTACAATGGAGTAAGTTTTGTACCACTGTTCTGTTCACTTTGCTCTATACATTCTTACTTTTATTTCTTACTTTCATTATTCATACTTAAGTCCTTTTTTTCATTTGTTTTTTTTACACTTAAAATTCAAATCTTTATGTTTCCATATTCATCAAATACCAGTTAACATAGAAAGGTGAAAGTTTGAGGACTGGTTCTCATCTCCATCTATTTAGCATTAGCATATTTTTGGGGCTTTGATTTTCTGTTCGCGATTTTCGTTTATTCTGAGAACATATTGTACATTGCATAATAAATACATTTCTTCCTTGAAATGCTTTGAGAAATAAAAGATCATCTTTGTCTTCCTGATGATTATTCTGTAGATGAAAGTGCAGGAACTCCAATTACTACGAAGTCTTATTTTTTTATCTTTTGATTTTATTGCAGCAGAAGTATCAGCAATTGTTTTTGATGAACCTTTTCGTGTTAGTATTAACGGTAAAACAATATTTTTGTCATGTAAAAAGATTGGTGAAAAAATCACTCGTCAGTGGGCTTCGGGATCGTATCATTATAAACCAGGTATTTTTTTTTATAAACCAGGTATTTTTTTCTTTTTTTTTCCATAAGCAGCGGATATTTTATCTCTTCCATTCATAGCTCTAAAATTTAAATGGTCTTTAAAAACATCACTTACCTATATGTGTAATGAAGATATTATAGATGTAAACATCTTAATATTTCCTAGTTAGAAACACATGCTGGATTCCATTACTTTAAAAATCCTTTAATTTTAGTGTTGAAATACCGAAATGGTGAGATATTTGCAATGTATGATGTAACACATGATACTGCATCGGTTGTTTTGCGAATTACTTCTCACTGTCGTTTAATGATACCCATAGGACATCACGTTCTGTTGCGGATCTGCGTTAATGGTAAAATCTTATTCAAGTACTGCTCACATGGCTCAACATGAATTTTTAAGGACTCTTTCTTCTTTGTATTAGATTTCATTTTGAGATTAAAGACTCAAAGAATTTACTTTGTATCAGAAAAGTTCTAGTGAATATCAAGTCAAGTGACTTTGGGAGTTCGATCCGAAAATTGAAACATCCGAAGTTGGAATTTTTAGATTGAAATAATTGTTTCAAAGGATTCGAACTAGATTTGGGAGAAAATTTTATATTATTTCTATTGCAGGAAGTTTGATCGAACGTCCATATACTCCGGTTCATATATCGGAGGATGGGCAGTTCATCTCATTTATGATAAAATTCTATAAAAATGGTATTTTTACATCAAAATTGCGCAACAAAAAATGCGGTTAGTTATAGGTTCCGTTTGGTTTTTTATGTTTTCAAGTGTTTCGAAGTGAACGGTTTAGATCCGAATCTTTTGAATGCATTGTTTCTGCCGGTAATAGATTGCACGTAGGATATCACAAAATGACTTCCTACAAGAGAATTAAAGTACTGTTCAAATAATGTAGCGCATTTCTTTCATCAATTAAACCTCCAAAATTCAATTATTTTAAGGGGACTTAATTGAAATTAGCGATGCATTAGGATGTTTCAATGTGCGGCCAGATTGTGCTGGGATCATGCTAATGCTGGCAGCTGGGACAGGTTTAACACCTATGATTCGATTTACAGTCGAACGTTTGAAAAATAAGAAAAAGTACGGTTTGCTGTGGTTTCTGTGTGTTTCATTTAAGGAAATTAGACGCACATCTATTTCAGATGTCTTTAAGTGTCTTTATTAATTATGTGGAAAATATCCGTGATGTCCTTCCAAAAAATCTGACTAGTTTAATTATTGGTTAATTGACTAGTTGACTTAGCTATTGATTTAATTATTCTGGTCCTGTATGTCATAGAAGTGCAAGTTTTTTAGGGCAACTATAATTATCTTCAACAAAAAGGCGATAGACATTACATCAGATGACTATTTTGCGAAATGTGAAATACCGTTAAATCATCCTTTGCTGGAAATAAGACACTGTTTAAGTCAAGCTGACAAAAAATGGGATGGCGAGAAAGGTTTGTTGTGAAGATAACCTGTGTTAAGAAACTAGGGATATCTTTTATGGAGAAGATTTCTGAGATACCAAACAAAAATTTGGATTGTGTTGTAGCTTTGCAACAACTAGATAGAATTAAATTTATCTACATTCAGGTTGTTTAGGTATCATTTCAAAACAAATACTTTCGAAGTATATTAATGGAACCACTGAAAAAAACAGTTATCGAATACTGATTTGTGGACCAGAGAATTTCGCTGATCTTGCAGCAAAGTAAGTACATATTAATCAGTAAAATCTATTAAATGATACAGCGCTACAATGAGACTTTTTCATATAAACCGTGTACAAAGACTCGTGATTAGTCGACTTTCAGTACGACATTTCCACATGTTATTGAGATGCAATCACATGCTAAGTCAATTCTCTGGATTGTGGTAAAAGTCAATAAATTCTGCTAAATTTTGTTTCAGATTGCTGAAAGAATTAGAAGTGCCACTGCAACACATTTACATTTTCCAAGGTTAGCTGAGGCAGCCATTTTGTTCGAGGTAAGATGCTTTAAAAGTATTGGAATAGTGTTTACATTAAAGATATATTTAATTTAGGCTTTTGTTTATCCTCTATGCTAAAGAGTGTAACATTTTCTTCAGGAACTGTATCTTCTGGTTTCTTCATCCGACATGAAAATTGCATAGAAAAACCGAGTTCCGTTAATCATTTTCCAATATAATGCATAAAATAATCTGCTGCCGTTGTTTAAGGCTTATTGATTTCTCCTTGAAATGCGATTCTTCATGTAAGGCATCCTTTGAGAAATTTTAATGTGATGTATTGTAATGACGTATTTCGCTCCATGAAAATCGAATATTCAGAAACCTTCACGACTGTACTTCAAGTTTCATTGTGTGTACCTCATTGCTACTTAGTCCATCACTTTCCTTTTTTGATAAAAACAAAAGTTCTTTCAATATGCTCTTTCTCAATTTGTACTTAGCTGTTTTGGTTGCGGTTTAGGCCTAGTTGCAAGATTCAACTAAAATAATTTGGTGAAAGAAAACCAGAAGAGGAATTGCTCAATAATGGGTTTGATGGTCCAAAATTCATGAAATTCCGATTATTGGTGATGCATATTAGTATTATTATACTATTATTAGGTGATGCATATTATTATGCATATTAGGTGATGCATATTAGTACCAGTCATGTTCAAGAGCATTTATATATTTAATCCATCAGTCGTAAGTTTTCACTGTCATAAATATACACATTTGTAACTTCGTTTATCAGCAAATATTGATTCTGATCCATACAGGTATAATATGCCCACTTCAGTTTGGATAAAGTTTGTTTCCATCCTACAATGTTCGATCACTGTTTAGAAAGATATGGTACTATGAAATATCTATATCTTACCAATAAATTATAAAATGGGGATCTTGGAATAGTGAGTATCGAATTGAAACTTGGGATTTTAAATCCTCTACCGTTTTCTTCATCCAATCAAAAGCGATATGGAAAAAGCTAGTTTTTTCTTTTTTTTTTCTTGAGATTTTTAAGCCATTGATATATTTGCTTTTAAAGGAGGAGGTAAGACTTTTTCAGATCTTCATATGATGTTTCTGCTTGGATCATTTCTTGAAGTTAGTGCTTATCCATTAACGATTTTCACTGGTTATTTCGTGCTAGGAATAAGAAATTGTTAGTGATCGCTTTCTCGAAGTGGTCATTTGTTGAAATGTATGATGTGAGGTTGATTCAGTTGTCTTTCTATGTTCTTTGTCTAATGTACTTAAGCATTGCATGGGATCAAAAGGTCAAGCTTGTGCATTTACTTCTCTAAATCTGTTTCAGTGTCTTTGGAGTTCATATGAAGACTTTCTTCGTCTCGTATTCGCAATGAAGTGTTTTTATTGTTGTATCGATTTCTGAAACGATAGCTCTCATGAATTCAAGAATATTAAAGGTCCTTAAAGATTTCAGCTTCACCATAGGAATGGGTCAGTTTCTGTCCACACCTTCACCAATGGATGAAGAAAGTATTCGGAAGGAAGTGATACATTTCCCAGTAGTTATCTTCACAATGCCAAGATGTCCATACTGTGTGAGAGCTAAGCAGTTACTAGATAAGGAACGGATCGAATATAAGGAAAACAACTTGGATATTCATCAGGTTAATTTTACGAACCTGTTAATTACCGAAGTTAGGATACCAATTTTCCTCGCCTTCATGTTAAATTCAGAATTTGTACTGCGTTGTCAGATAAAACACAAGTTAAAATTATGATTATTACTTGCAGATATCAAGAAGCGTTGGGTCGGATAGAAGAACCCAAGCAGTTCTTTTTTGCTAAGTAAAGTAACTGCGAGTAACTATCGATAAATTAGTGCACTTTTGAAATTATTATGACCAAAACTAATGTAGTTTGGATAACAGATAGAAATGAGAACTTTATCAGTTCTTCTAAGAAACTTGTTGATCAGGTGGCCTTAGTAAATCTTGACATCCACTGTTCACTTTTAATTATGGAACACCAGTCGTATACTACTGTCTTTGAGTGAAACATTTTGTAGTCATAGTTAAATTCTAACTGAAAATTTGTAAACTTCATTGTCATATTTTCTTTTTATAAATTTTGATTGTGATCATATAGTGTAACTGTATTTCCAGCGTCGTTTCCCAGCTAACCATCAGTCATATGTTAATGGATTAATTAATATCACAAAGCAAACCTCGGTACCTCAGATATTTATTTGTGGTGATTTCATTGGTGGATTTACGGAATTGCAGCAATTAAAAAACGCTGGAATGTTACTAAATGCGATTGCTAAATGTCGATCTTCTCCGGAAAAAAAATTTCTCATAGCTATGCTTTTTATGTGGTTAAATTTTTCTTGAAAGGGTCTTCCTCAATGATTTTTTTCTTCCATTTAGGATTTTTATGGTAATTTTTTTTCGAGCTATTCACATGTAGTGCTTTTGTTTTCTCTTGATTTATGCCGCCTTTTTTCAATGACATAATGTAAAACTTTTATAAGATTTAAAACCAACATGTTTTCCCGGTTTTTGATTTCTCAGCATTATGGGTATCGATTGACAGTAGTTCTTCGTCATTTACTTCAGACATCTGGGATTATAAGGTTTGGGTTCGTTCAGAGTTTTTTTTTCTTTTTTTTTTTCAATGCTCCGTGAGGTGTTTGATACATGCTATCTTTTAAATTGAAAAGAAATTGAATTTAGCGGAATTAGTGACTTAACTTATGTGGTCAGATTCAATTTAATTTAATTGAAGCTCAATTGTTGACTTCAACTAATTTGAATGTAAAGAAAATGCAGCAGTTTAGTTAATTACACTTTCACTTCTAAGTTGGCTACTTCCAATTTATGACGTGATTATTCATTCACTTCATTGTTTTTCATTTTGCTCCGGTTAGTAAACTTTCAATCTAACCTATTGGATTTCATAGGTCTTTTTCTCTATATCTTCAGTATTTAGACTTTATTTAGAGGTATATGTCGGTCTTTACCCGTGTTCAGCTGCTATTTCATCAATTTTCTTCATAGAACATCCTCATATGCTAAGAGAAAAAGATTCAATAGCTTCCCTAAAGTTTGTTTTTCTTAGCTAGTTTTAACTTATCCGAGATAAGATAAATGAAATCATTTTAGATTAAACTGAATCACATTTAAGATTAATAAAAAACATTTAATTATTGTTAATAAACAGTCAGCATTCTGTGTTAAATCCATCCTGTTCGATGACATTGAATCTTTCTTAAAGAAATTAGGTGTCTGGATTTCCTAATTCTTGGTTGTTAGCTTACACTGTCTTACTTTTTCTTTCTTTTCAAACTTTGAAAATGGTGTAAATTAAATTTCATCCTTCTTTTAGATCCAAAATTATTTCGCTTTTACAATACCTTACTTTACATCCCTGTGAAAGTACATGAAATATGTATCAAAAATTTTTGTCATCAGTATGTGTTAAAAATGTTTTGCTGAAAAGGATGATGTGCGATCATTGTCATCTTATTTCGCATTAATAAACAGTTTGATGTGTTTTTTTTCCTCTCTGAAATCACTGACACTTTCCTGAGATGGATCATATTTAAAATCACGATGCAAATAATTCAGTTGGTCATATTTTAAGTCAAAATGGAAATAATTGGTTATAAGTATATCAATTCCTGTCAAGAAAATTTTCATGAAATTTAATTAGGATTATCAGTTGCGCGAATCGAAAAACTACTAGAATTACAACAATCGGCACAAGTTGCATCATTTATACCACTCCTTATCATCTCTCAACAATTCCTAAAACGATAGGTAAGTTTTAATTAAAATTTATGGAGATTTCTTGACAGGAATCGATGGATTTGTCTAGCGTTGACATCTATCTGCCCTTAAATGAAATTTGGCATAAGGATTGTCCTTATTTTCTGAGTGCTTGACAATCTTTTTTTTCTTTTATTTCATAAATTTGTTTAAATCGATCAAATTCTGTTTTTAGATGGACTTACTACCACCACTAGAAATTGATGGCGAGGAAGTGGAAGGAAAAGAACTGAAGAGTGTTGGTAATAAATCTTTATCATCCTTAACAATTGTTGATGGTTGCAATGATGATCCATTCTTGAATGTCGACTTTTGTAGTTTCAAATTACAGTGTTTATTAGGGAGGTAGGTTATTTGCACTGTGCTGGTTATTTCTGTTTTCTTTTCATATCATTACTTGAACTTTATGGAAAAGAAGGATTCAAGTAATGAATTTATGGCTGGAATGAAAAAATTGTTGAGAATATAAATTTATTCGATTGGAATATAAATGTAATCTGACTTCGGGGAAAAAGTATAGCTATGATTTCTGTAGTAATTTATTAGATTGGGTGATACTATAGAAAACGACTTTTTTTAATAAAAAGTTGTCAGGATTGATTGGTCATTTGAAATGGTCCATCTCTCAGTAGAACATGACTGTATACCCAGTATGACTAGGGATGGACTGATGAAATTTGATGTGATTTCAAGTTATATTCCGAAATCGGATGAAAAAAAAACTATGTTAGTTTTTAGAGGAAGCTATAGCGATGTATGGAAGGCGGAGTGCAAAGAAGTAACAGTAGCTTTAAAAGTTATCAATTCAACTGATGATGTTCTCCGAGGAATCTTTTATCACGAGGTTTTATATTTCTTTTAGGTTTTATATTTTCAGTGCTGCTTAATTTGAATCTTATTAAAAACAATCAAGTGATATTAATATAGAATATATTATCGTTGGTTTAAAAGAAACATTGAGCTTTAAATGTGAATATTTAAAAAAAAAGAATGTTATGATTCAAAACATTTTTCGATTCCTTTCTAAAACCAACATTTGCTATGCAATCACTCATCGCCGGAAAACAGGTTCTGCCGATACTGTCATCAAGATTTATTTGATGTTGTTTAATATCGATAGGAGATATTATAAATTTATGGAAGCATTACTGTTAACGAAATTTAAAATTCCATTTATTGATATTCCATTGAAATTTCGAGATTTTCCAATCATTTAAGGTGGAAGTAATGCGAAATTTGGTTCATCCAAACGTGGTTGAAATAATGGGTGCATGTGTTTGTCCGGTATATGCTATAGCAATGGAATATATGACATGTGGTTCTCTTGATCAATGTAAGCTTTGAAGAATTTTCTTTTTTTTTGTTTTTCGAACGCTAACTTTGATTTATGTAAATATGTGGCACAGTTTCCATAATAACTCTCCTTTTGTCATATCCTCAATCCGTTCCCCTCACTCTCCCCCCTAAAAAAAGAAAAAAAGGAGAAAACTTTTGCTCTAAAACATATTGGAAAATTGAAATATAGATTGGACTTAGTGGCTTAGTACTCCAGACTGCAATTTATTCTTTGTTAACCAGTAGTTATTCGTCACACTCATTCAGTTGTATGTACTACTGATGCAATAGAAATACTAGGTTTCACCTCAGTAATTGAAGAAGGATTAAAAAAGTCTTAAATTTCGATCTAGCGTCCGTGTAACAGCAGCCTAATTAATGACAACCTTCCTAGATTTATATTAAAAAAAAGAATGAGATTAAATCATTGGTATGATAGACTTGTTTTGGGTATTTGCGTGGATGTTATTTATCAAGTTTTTCATTCTCACAATATGTCACCTTATAACATTGGTAATACAAATAGGAGTATAATTTATTTTCAGTACTTCATGAGTCAAAAAATATAAGTTATAAGGCAGATCACGCATTTCGTTGGGCATCACAATGTGTTGATGCACTGGCTTACATACATCGAAAAGGATTTGCACATGGTGATCTGAAAACTGCCAAGTATGATTTGCTTTTTTTTTCCCATTAGGCCGAATTTTGGAATAGGTCTACCGTTACATCGGAATTTAAGTTTCAACAGCAAGAATTTAGGAAATTGCCAAACTCTGATTGATCCTAAAATTCCACTTTTTACTTTAGTGATAGTTTGTCGATTAACGATTAACTTTCTGTTTCATCATGGAAACAAAAAAAGAGAAATTTCTTGTTGTTTAACATTAATTTCTTTCTCATACCATCCTGAAAATTATATCACAACTTGTTGAAACATAAACTGAAACTCAGAATCTTATGTTGCATGATCATCAAGCGGTTGCCCTAGGTCAGATGGATAATTCTTGATACTTGATGCTATTGATATTTTGGTGTTTGGTCAATGACTGTTAATTAATTTTCATAGAAAATGAAATTTTCTTCACCATTTACTTTCTTTATTTTATATGTTGCAGTTTGTAACGCTTAAACTCATATATAATATTTCGTCTACATTTTCATCTGTGTTTCCGTTTTATTTCTGAATTAATGTTCACGAAAAATTTCATGAATATCATTTTATATACCAATTAACCAACGCGATGAGCGGATAGTTATGCATAAGAAAATTGTATATCATGTGTGTACTATAATTGCTCTTGCTTTAGCTTATTGCTTGATGATAACTGTCATTGGCTTAAAGTAGCTGATTTTGGTACAATGGTATATATGAACAGTGATACAGAGTACAGACAAGGGTCAGCACCATGGATGGCTCCTGAGGTATATTGTGTTTTCTTCATTTCTCGAGCAACTTTAAGTCTGAAATTTAAGGTGAAAATTCGGTCAAAGTGATTGAAATAGTTCAGAATTAAGAAAATGAAAAATAATGTAACTATTTCATAGAAAATTGCATGAATTTGAGGTCAGAATTCGATTTCTTTGTAGATCATTACTGGTTCATCACCTTCAGAGCAGTCAGATATTTATAGTTTTGGAATCGTCCTTTGGGAAATAATTACACGAATGCGGCCGTATAGTGATTGTAAAAATGCCGAAGAAATATTGTGGAGCGTATGTTTTTATCTGAATTCATGGTTTTGAATTCATTAAATGAAAATGTTATGGTGTCTGTTCGAGATTGTTTTAAATGATCTAGATTATAGGAACTTCTAAAGATTTTATTCCAGTTTTCCTGCTAATGATTTCTTGCCTTTCTGTAGGATGTTATTAAATCTGGATTTTCGATTTAGAATTTATTTTTCATGTTTGAATTTTTTTCTCATTAGAAATCTTTAGGTTTACGCGGGTTTGAGACCGCCGCGTATTGGAAATATCCCAACTAAACTTATGCAAATGATTGAACGGTAAGAGTTTCATTCTTCTGGTACAAGGTAAAATCGTGCTTCCCTCCATTATTTATCATCTTTTTAGAAAATGATGTTATATTTTTTATGGAATTTGAAATCTCATTCAATAAAATATTTGAGGATCTTAATCAAATTCAATCAGAAATCACAAAAATTCTTGTTATTTTTCAGCTGTTGGCAGAAATTGCCAGAAGAAAGGCCATCCATCAAGGAAATTCAAAAAGTACTAAAAATACTTTGCAAGGTAGTTTTTTTCATTTTAATAGTTTGTTACAATCTTTTTGTCATAAAAGAAGCATTGAGGTAACTTTGTATTTTTGCAAGCCTTTTAAATTCTGTTTAAGCGGTAAATCGTTCAAAATCTGTTCAAACAATAAGCTTTTAATCGATCAGGTCCATCCTAATCTTTAAAGAATAAATTCATCTTCCTTCCAAGTCGTATTGGTAGTCAGTGTTTGAATTTCGAAAACAATAACTGTATTTTTAAAATGAGAATAACAATGTAAGAATAACGAATAAACTAAATTAGAATGAAGAAAATCTCTAAAATCAGGATAAAATCATATTTACTTATATTGTTCTCATCACTCGTCACTTCTTATTTCTGTGCGAGCGTTACACTTATTTCAAAATCTATGTTGTCCCTTCGTACACTTTATACTGTTTGTCTTCATGATTAATTAAAAATTGGATAACAATAAATAATCTCGTTAAAATTGTATCACATCATGTAATATTGTTTTCGATGTTTGTATCTTTATTTACTTTCTTACTGATATAAGTCTACATACTGAATGTTTTCGTCATTTTCTTAACTTTTATATTGTTTTGCTATTTCTTGGACTCCATTTCGGTCATTTTATCGTCTTCTTTTAAACTTTATAAAGATGCTTTAATATTAGGTGATATGTATTTTACAGTAATATAATTAGGCTAACAGCCTGTCATTCATTTTAAACAGCCAATGATGTTTACTACAATTATCAACCGAACGATTTATTCTCGACATTATATCTAAGAAAACATTTTAAAAGTTTGTTCACAGGAATTTTTGTGTCTTCAAGACTGCTATGCCTAAATTACTTGAATAGTATGGAATCAAACTTGGATGCAGTTGGGTAACCATAAAACATGTAGACGAATTCAAGACTATACCAAATTCCTGTCCTTCCCTATGTTTATCATTTCTCAATGTATGTATACCTTATCAAGAATTACAACCACCGACCATGTTAACTATTTCATATGTTAATTATGCTATCAGTTATTCATCTACTAAAGTGCACTACGTCCAATAATGGAACGAGACTAGTGAAAAGATTATGTATATCCAGTTCCTAATATAAAGTAGCATTAATTAGTCGTAAGATAAATTCTTTGTATGATTTTTCAGATGTATCCCAATTTCAGTGAACCGTTGGTGTATTTTGAAACTAATTCAAAGCAAACGGTATGTGACGATTGATATTTACGCGAACAAGTGTATAGATAAGCATAGAGAAATGTTAAAGTTAAATTAATCGAGTTAGATCTGCTGTGGATGAAATTTCTTTAGATGACTTTTTACTTGATTCCTAAAAGTTTTTCTTATTCACGAAATGTGCTACCGGGCCAGAAATGCAACTTCTTTATAGAAGTAAGATAGCAATTATCAATTTCAACAAACATCTAGGATTGGTGGTTGATTTATCTTATTTTATTAAATTAAAATGAGTAATATTTTACCTAACTTTCTGCTTTCATTTTTGAAATTGTATTTGCAGGAAGAGGCTACTGAGAATGGAGTTGGTAGTGTGGAATGTAGCATAATCGAAAGGGAAACAGTTACGAAAACTGATCTCGAATTATCACCCAATTCGGTGGAGGAGATTGAAATACTGAGCAAAAAGTATGGTCTGTCATACTGTTACGATAAACTAGATAAATGAATGAATAATTAACCCCTTAACCATGAACAGGGGGATCTTTCTAACATTTTATAATACCTTACAATCGATTAAGTATGGTTACAACTTTCATTTCTTTTTTTTTTGGTTTAAATATTTAATGGAATTTTGGGAATTCAAAAACTGGAATTTAATATCAGATGGAATTGCAAAACATGAAATTAAGAACAAAGCAAGGTACCTTAGGCAGTATCAGTCATTTCTATCAATTAGCTAGTAAGAAGACGTTGAAGCTTGAGCAGGACATCTCACTTTTTTTTTTTGGTACTCTGTAGTGTTTTATATTTCAGAGAACTTAACGTTTTTGTCTTTTCATAACAGTGAATACAATTTTCGGCTGAAGAACATTACTGAAAACGACTTAAAAAACTATGTAAATTAGTAACACTAAATGTGAAAATTATATAGGCAAGTTGAGCGAATCATTCCGTTTTTATGAAGCAACACTTTTTCTGCTTTTTCTAAGGGATTTAAATATCTGTTTACAGACATTCATTAATTCAACAATATGAAAATATTGCAAGCTATACAGATTTATTACGCGAAAAGGTTTACTCAGTAATTTATTTCAGAAAATTCGTTCTTGTTCCTTTTTCCTTTTTTTTTCTTGGGAAGTATACTTGACTGTTAATTTGATTCTACCAATTACTTAAAATATTCATCGTTGTCTATATTTGTGCTATTTGTTATGCACAACACATTATTTTTCAGTTTGAGTTCTGCAAGGATTTGAATTGAAATTAGAAACAGTGCGATGATTGGTCGTTGTGAATTGTTGGATATATGTTGAAGATGGCGTAAGTAAAACAGTATTACTTAAAATATATCTTTTTGGATTTATTTCAAAATTTTATACTAAACATTAGCAATCTATCGCTTAACAAAAGGTGACGAGAGAGATGGCTGTAATAGATTTTGAGAAAGTTGTTGCGGATGATTGCTATTGTAAATATTTTGAAATTAGGCATGTTTTTTTCTATTTTCTTGATATAAGCATTATTATTTTTTCATCTTACATTGTTATTTTCTTCAATTTTTTTTGAACAAAATTATTTTTTAACCCATTGTTGGATTTTTAGGAGAATAGGAGAATAAACTAGAAGAGAACAGAATATTTGAATAAATAAACTAGAGGAGAATGGAATATTTAGCGTAGGATAGAAAATATTTGAGTTATTTAGTATGTCAATGAATGAGTAAGAGTTGTCAACGATCAGCAATTGATCTTTAATTCAGTAATCGAAATTTGGTTGTATTTTTCATTCTTGTTATCCGAGTTTGAAAACTTGATGAAGTTATTTGTAAAATATTAGTATTATTTGATGATTCGCATAGACTGAAAAGGACGATTAAAGATTGACCTGAGCAGTGTTGAGTAAACTTATAGCCTTATTTGGTACTAGAAATACTAACAAGCTACATTTAATGATAGAATATTCTTAATGGCCAGAGGAGGGATTTTTCATTTTATGATTATATGTTGCTACTGTTCTTCATCCCTCAGTTTCTTTTGGTTTTTTATGTTGTAAATTAATGAAACGTAAGACATAGTTTCAAGGAAATGCACGCAACAAAGTCAATCATATGTACATATACATATATATGTTGTTGGAATTCTCAGTCTTAACTTTTTACAACAGTTGAATGGATTTGAAATCGATATGAAGAATTTCACATTACTTACTTCCTCTAATGACGACAAATCATTGCTGGACGAAATAATTCGATTTTTCTATAGAATAAGTCTTTTCAGAATTAATCCTTTTTTAAAGATTATTTATGATGTATGTATATTGACATCATTGACCTTTTTTGGTCACTGGTCTTTTTCATTTATTCATTGACCTTTTTCATTAAATTTGGGTTTTTCAGTCTATTTAATTAGTAATGTTACACTACCTTTGATAAAAGTTATGTCACATCTTTTTTTTTTAATTGGTAGTAAACAATGGTAATCCTTCTTTTTATCTGTTTTATGCCAAATTTCTATTCCAATTCTTTTTTGGAATATTACAAATTCATCTAACTGTATTCATTCCGTATCACTTTATTTTTCTTTTATCTACTTCAGCTTCATTAATCTTTGTTGATATTTGCGACAGCATAGCCAAGATGATGTATATTCTGCACAGTTTTTTTTTTCTTTTTTTTTTTTAAAACATCAATTCTTGCTATATGTGTAGGTTTGATATCGTTGATATGATTGGCAACATTATCACTTCTTTCAGTTTTATTTTTGACATACAACAAATACAATATATTGAAAAATGGATTAATTTTGAAGTAATTAATCAAAAATTTAAAGTATGTTACATCAGATGTTACATTCCTTCTTTGTTATTCTTGCGCAGAAATATTGTCAAAACATTTCCCTTTAAATCCATCATTTTTCATTCTATATATTTTACAACATCTCTAAACCGGAGATAATGATTTACATGTGTTGTATTGTTTGCCAATTGGTGACAATTTTGTGAATGTTCTAATTTACTTCCTTTTTTTTAAATCAATCTTTTCCTTTTTTTTCTTTTTTTTTGTTCAAAATGATATGCGAAATGTTGCTGCCAAAAAATTGTTATATTTCCTCTACATTGTATTTATCCTTGCGAAATATCAACTTGATGTCTTTCTAAAATTGTCATAAAATTAACTCAATTTTGAAAAATTATTTTTCTCAATATTTCCAAAGTTCTTTGTAAATGAAAAAGGAAATTATCGAAATATTTTACATATTCTGATGATCCATTGTTGCGAAATTCATGAAATGTTTGATGTATTCTCTTTTCAAATAAAAGAATATTTATCGCTTTTAAGCAATATTTTATCATATTAATATGGAAGAGGCTGATCTAATATCAAACATACCTTCTATTGCAATGATAATCCTTTATCACCATATCAATTGAGGTTTAGGATAAATTTAAAAATGTGGAAGCTCAGCGAATTTGAAATCTCATCAACAAGTAATAACATCAAGAAAAAATCTCTTCTTTCGGTTTCTGATTAGATACAAGTTTAATGATTTGAATAGGAGACATTCCTGAAATAATTCATGAAAAGTCCTCAATCTAATCCATTCAAAAAGAAATTCGTATTCCGAAATAAGTCATTTTTACATTCACTAAATATCTTTAATTCTAATATTTCTAGAATATCATCCTTTTGCTTCTTTATCCGGCTCATTCGTTCCCATATCCGGATCTAACGGATTCAATCAGATAGAAAAAAAAAGAAAGAAAAAATGAAAGAAACAGGGAATTTGCTTCTCACATTTAATTTATACCATTTTACACACTGGTCATTTCTTAAAGTTGGGAAATTGGATGAGGTCAAAATTTCTCATCATTTCATAGTATACATTGAATTGTTAGTATCTCTTTCATATCGGAACATTTGTTAAATAGTTTTCTCATAAATTAGGTTCTCATAAATAAAGATGACCGGCTTAAATGTAGGACATTTGTTGCAAGAAAAACGATACCATTTTCTAGGTCAAAAAATTAAATTTACAACAATCAAACGCTAATATATGCGCCAATGATTTCAACTATTTTTCTTTTTTTTTTTCATTTCCATTATAATCTATTCCATTTATATTGTTCAGCTTAAATATTTATTTTAAATTTTTCAATTCAATAAGTTCCAACTGAAGTAACGACACATGCATTATGGGAATGATTTCTAATTAATCATCAGAAGGAACTTGTTTAATTTAAAAAAAAAAGAAAAAAGAAAAAGTAGTAAATAGAAAATAACCTTTAGCTGTTCTTATCAGTGTTTAATAAAGTGATTAATGTGCTTGGCAAAAGTTTTGACTAAAATTTATTTTTAAATTAAACAAAATTTGTTATTTTTAAACTTTATGCTTTATGCTACAAATAAAAATGCCTAAGTATACTAGATGGTCAAGAAGAAGTTAAGTATAAATCATCGGGGTGGAATGTGAAATGCAAATTATTTATTCATCTAGTAACCAAAGATTATCCCGAGAATTCCTTCATCATTATTCATCAAAATATTCGAATTTTCATTCTTAACAATATTTTTCATTTTCATTTTCAATCCAAAACATACATTGAATATGGAAATTACTACAAAAAGTATATTTGTAAATTATCAAAATAATTTCAAATAAAAAAAAGAAAATTTTCAGGAATTTATGACAATCAAAATTGATAAATTCTTGCATACAAATATAATAATTTCAAACATTCGCTTATCCATTGCAATTATTACTCTTTTCCAAATATTACTTTCATAATTAAATACTCTTTATCGCTAATTAAATATCCATTCATTTTCATCGAATTGATTCATTTACAGAACATTTTCAATTCTTCCCAAAGACGGTAAGATTTTCCATTATCGTAAAATTTTTAAAAAGTTTATTCTCTAAAAATACTTCCTAAACAAATTTAATTTTGACATTATAAATTTCACATATATACCACGAAGAATTTTCCCGGTAAATCACATAATTCATTATCTTTTAAAAAAAAAAAGAAAACAAAATTTTCTGATAAAATTAATTTTAAGCTTGAATTTTAAGCATAATCGAACTGCAAAAAAAAGAAAAGAAAAACACCTTTTAATAATCACATGGATCCGGATAGTTTGGATGTTAGACGTGAGAAAGCTTATCAATTTGCAATTATCACAGCGCTTATCATTTCCATACTACCATTTGTAACATTCATTACACTAATACCAACTGTACATCAGTATATCGATGATATCAATCATCAGCTACAAAATGATTTATTTTTTTGTGAGGTAAGCTTAAAATTATCTAATTTTGTAAATGTGGTCATTTTTTCTTAAGATGTGGTCAATGGTCACTTTTAAAATAATCATTGGAACATTGATAGTCTCAAGTGATCAAGCATACTTTCATAGCCTAGCATGACAAATTATCGCTTTTTTTAAAAGTCTTTCTAACAATTTATCCCAGACAGAATTGTTTTACGGATAAAGTTAGAAACCTGAATTAGTCATACATGACAAAATTCAGATCCGGTAAAAAGCAGTTCCGATCCGGTACAACTAAATACGCTTTTGCCAGTAGATTTATTTTATTAAACAAAGGCGGTATTTTAACATTAAATAATGCAAACCAAATTGCGTAGTGTATTTTCAATCAATCACAAGAAATGATTATTACTGGATTTCCGGATATAAATTTTGAGATTTAGCTAATTTAGTCCTTTCAGGAAACTGCGTTTAACCTTTACGACTACACAAATATGAATGCGAATTATCACGGTGATAGCAATGAAACAGGAAATACAACAAGCGGTATTGTCAAAGTAAGAAGAAGGAATATCATTCTTTTTGTAACTTTTTGAGTACTAACGATCTGAATTTTTGCACGAAATGACTTTTACCGCCGCTTTCACTTAGCGCAATATTTGCTAATTATTGATGATGAATTTGTATTGACAAAAATGACCTTTGAACTAATTTTTGATCTTTCTTTTTTATTTTCCTTTTACATGAAAAAATATTCATATTTCATCGTATTTTTTATCTTTTAAATTAATTTTTCTTTTAGCTTAACACCATTTTCGAGTACCTGAATTGCTCCCAGAATTATGAGAAATGTCAGGAAAGATGGCGACAAGCTAATCGAAAAGTTCGCAATCTAGCGATTAAAGTGCCAACATCAGGAACTTCTCTCTTCAAGCACTCATCATCATTATCATTATCATCATCATCATCATCATCATCATCGGATACAGTTGAACCGAAACAAACATTCATACAAAATATCGGTCAATCAAATGAAGCAAAAATAGCTGAAACTAATTTCAAACAATCTATTATTAGCAAAATAACTAAAGATTCCGATGGTGCTGGTATGGTAGCCACCAAATTTGGTGACAATGCACCGCTTTTCCGTACTTACAGATTTATATCATCCACTACAAACTATCTTCAAGAATTATCGGTGACAAATGCACCTGTGACAGAAAGTATACAAAGTAACATAAATAGCAATGATCGAGAATGCAGGTATCATCATATTTTAGATTAATGCAATTGAGATTGCTACTGATAAAGTATGTCATATCAAAGAGGAATGATTGATGGCTTAAAGGTCATTTTATTTAGAGACATTTTGGTTTTGAGGTTTTTTTTTTGATTGATATTCAAGATTTTTTGTGGTAGTGAGAAGTAGAATAATGATTCAGAAATCTGGCGAAATTTAAAGATGAGATTTAAGTCTAGGCTTCATATTAGATGAATCATCAAAGGAGTCATAGCCAGAGATGTCACTCATGTCACATTCATTACTTTGTTGGTTTTTTTTTGTTATTTGCAGTGGACACAAAACATTTAATGGGGTTGGGTATGTTCTTTTACTGAACGTAAAATATACATTTTTGAAATCGATTGGTTCAAACTCTTTTCTAATTTTATTATAGACGATATTTTCTTTTGGTAGATTGAATTGATTGAAAAAAAAATTTGATTTTTAATACTAGGAAAAAATTTAGCTGCTCTGCTTTACCTGGGCCTAAAGGTTTACCTGGCCGAAAAGGACTTAAAGGTGCTCCAGGTACACAGGGAGCTCCTGGATTTCCGGCACGTATACCATGTGAACCACCAATTGACATGAAAAAGATGTGTGCTGACCCATGTCCAGTTGGTAAACAAGGGAAACAAGGACCAACGGTGAGTTTTCGGTCAGAATTTCACTAAAAATAGTTTAAGCCTATTCTAGAAATGAAAATCTTTTCTCAATGTTTTTTGGTACCACAAATGGTGCCGCACAGTTTGTTAATTATTTAGATAATTAAAAACAACATTATCGCTTATCTTTTTTTCCCAGGGTCTCCCAGGAGATAAAGGTGCAACAGGAATCCCTGGTGTTCATGGCAAAAATGGTGAGGATGGGAAAATTGGTCCACCAGGACCAAGAGGCCCACCAGGAATTCCAGGATTGGACGGTGATACAGGCGATCCAGGGATCGATGCAACACCAACACCATTCATTCCAGGACCTCCTGGTCCAGCTGGCGAAACTGGGCCAACTGGACCACCTGGTTTGTTCTTTCATTTTTTTTTTTACTATGAAAAAGTGCTTTTGTAATTGGAATTGAAACAACTTAGAAATTCCAGCGATATTTGGAAAATCATTTAAAATGTAAAAAGTGATAATCCTGATATTTCTCACTGTAGTGATTTCAGGGCCACGTGGAATGCCTGGAATTGATGGACCACCAGGACCAACAGGTAAACGTGGCACACCAGGTGAAGATGGGTTACCCGGAAATCGAGGATCACCCGGATTACCGGGACCAATCGGAAAAACTGGACCAGATGGAAATGTTGGAGTACGAGATTTTATCCATTTTTCCAAAAAATTATAGAAGAATTTTTCCGTTTTCGCTGCATTTTACCGTTATACTCGTCTAGTTTTTTCCTCAAATTGAAAAAAACTGAACTGAAAAAGGAAAAACGTATTACTTAGCCCTTACGTTGATAAAATATCCGGTTGAATTTCGGTTTTGTGGGAAGAAAATGCAGCAATTTTTAATAGTAGAGTTATTAGAATTGCAATTTATTTAAAATCAAGAGTTTAGAATCAGAAATATAGAATAAACAATTTAAAATCAAGAATTTAAAATCGAGAATTTAAAATCGAAAGTTTGCAACCAGTGATTCAAAATTGTGAAAATGAAATCAAAAATTAGTAATCGAGAATTTGGAATCAGTTTAAAATCAAGGATTTAAAACTGAAAATCTAAAATCAAAAGTTGAAAAACAAAAATTTAAAATCAATAATTTAAAATTACCAGCTCAATGGTCGATAGTAAAATATTTACTAATTACCAAAAAAAAAATTTCAATTCATGTTGAAATTGAAATCACTTATTTTTGCTTATTAACCTAAATTACAATTGATAATTGTAATTAATCAAAATTACAGGTTTGTCCAACATACTGTGCAACAGATGGTGGTGTGTTCTTTGTCAAACCACCAGAATGGTTTGAAGATTGATTGTAGCAGTTGATATTTGTGTTGACAAAATTTTCTCTTCAATTAAATTTTCATCTTAAATTGTTCAATATGTTGTACATAAATGCGCTATTATACTTTTGCACTCCTACCACTGCTATTTGAGTAATTTGCGCAAAAATTTTCTGCAATCCGTAATATTACTATTGATTGGGTTAAATAAAAATAGTGATATTATTATTGTTATTATCATTATTATTATTGTTATTATTATTATTATTATTATTATTGTTATTATTATTATTATTATTATTATTATTATTATTATTATTATTATTATTATTATTATTATTATTATTATTATTATTATTATTATTATTATTATTATTATTATTATTATTATTATTATTATTATTATTATTATTATTATTATTATTATTATTATTATTATTATT